TCACAAAATCTCATGATTCGATTTGCCATGACAACCCTTAATCTTCTCAAACAGTCCAAAGTGATATGTTCTCAATTTGGTTTTGTCTTTGTCATAGTTCCTCCAGTACCAGTTCATTTTCTTCTACTTGTTCCACTCCACTATTTTCATGTTTGCATGATCAGAAAATGTTAAAATCTTATTACTGCTTAATATCATAAATTGGAAATTTACCAGTTCAGCAGAAGCTGTGACATATCATTATTATATGAATACTTTTTAATAAGCTTATAGAAAGTGATCATTTATTCTAAATGTTTATTTTAAAAGTAAGGTCATACCTATTTTTTTAAATTTCATATAAGCAAAATTTGCAATGCCTTTAATTATTTTCAGTTAAAGGGGTATAAAATTATAGTCTTTAAATATACTTATATTTGACGAATTTCATTGTGAAAATGGAACATTTTTATAACATCAAGAATGGTATAGTGTTCAAGATATAATTTCCTTACTATTATCGGGAAGTTATTATGGTAACACTTTTCAGGTGTTATTTTTCTGAAGGACGTTATAAATTTTAAATTCTCCTGAAGGATGAGTTGCCAACAGTGGTGGAATAAATAACCATTAAACCTCTGTCATTTTTATCAGTGTCTTTTGGAAAGAGAGCTATGGAAAACATAGTGGTGGGCCACCTGTACTTGAATTAATGACTTACTTGATCTTTTAGGCCCTGCCTTTGTACACAGAAGGTGATTTTGATTACAATAATAATTGAGAATTTTGATTTACTTCCAGCTTTTTATTTGAATTGTTAAAGATCTATGAATAACTCACTTTTATTGACAATGAGGCAATTAAAGCGACTTACCTGATAGGGTGGATGGGCTGGATTGTCAGTGTATATTCATTTCCCCCCCACCCGGATATCCCAGAGTATTATAAAGGGCAAATTACTTTCACATGTTGGATTTGTAAGAATGATCATGCCTCTGCTTTTTCAATGTGTGTGGAAACACCACTGTTTCTCCCTTCTAGAATTCTGTCATTAGTCTTGCCTGTAAAACACCATACACACCATAATACTATTACCATAAATAATAGTAAAGGAAAGTGTGGGAGGTTTTGGCTCCAGTGTCATCAGTGTGCTGTTGATCTCTGTTCTCTGTATCCTTTTCATCCAGCCCAGGTGGCAGGGTATAATTGCTTTTCCAGGCTTTAACCAAGATAGGGATATGGATGAAAGTGAGTTGGCTGCAAACCAACTTGGTTAATGGAGAAATGCTTCTTGTTAGCCAAGGGAAGCATTTAGGGAAATAGAAAAAGGTAATGTATACACCATGTCCTGAAAATACATTTTTAATTCTTGCTGAAGTGACTGCTGTGTTGGCTTCTTGCTAATAACAGAGGTTTCTAGTACCATTTATTATTAATGATTCCATTTTAACACAAGTCTGGCTGTGGTTGTCTGTGCCTCTGCTACCACCTGACTCTAGTAATACATTCCTTCATCATTATTTTGCAAGTTATCAAAAATTATCTGTGACTACAGCACATCTGTCTGCTTTTAGGTTATGGGAAGTGTTAGCTGTAACTGATTGGTTTATTCAAACCTCTGTGATTCCATGTATTCTGCATTTGTTGAAAACAGCAACAAATGTTTCTTAAAAGGTGTCAAGTCATCCATGATAATTCAGAAAATTCAGACTCATCCAGGAGACTCTTATTTGAGAGATTTGGTCTGTTGTTTTGTTCTGTCAGGTTACGAATGTTAAATACAGACATGAATATTAAAGAAGGTGTTTCTTTGTTCTCAAAGGCTGTGAATGGTCTTTAGGCTTGATTTTACCTTTCTGAGTATTTGTCCTGTAATGCTACTGCTTTTTTTTTTTTTTTTTAATAGCATCCAACATAATGTCAGAGAATTTAACATGGTTTGCAATTACTCTTAGAACTAGCTACTCCTTCTGTTAGACACTCAGTCCCTAGTTCCTGAAAATTTCTTCACTGAAGGGCTGTTAGAACAGCAGTTTTGGTAGCCTGCCATCTGCCTGTGGAATTTTCTGATCTATTGGAGCTGGCACGTGGTAAATTTTAAGCCATGACGCCCAGAAGTGTTAGTGTGACTCTCTGGTGACATATAATAAGTTGTCCTAGGTAGCATAGTTAGAATGCAGCATGGAATGTCATGATTTTAATGCTCACAGTTTAAAATGTGTAACTTACACAATTCAAGTGTTCACGTTTCTTACCTTTGCTTACTAAAGAGAAAGGTTTCTGGGGATCTGTAACTATCTTCACATCATAATTGCTTTTATACATATTTTCCAGTATACTTTCACTGGCTGTTTTTCAAATGAGTTATAAAAATAACAATAAAATATGTAAAATATTACTAAATCTTAAATGTTGATAGATATATGCTATTATTTGAAATAATACTAGTAGTTGTATTCTATGTCAAAAATATGTATGTTTCTTCATGAATGTTTATATTTGAATAGGTAGTTTTAGTAGATTTTGCTCTTTACTGTTACATTAAGTGGGAAATACTGCTTTTATTGATTTTCTATCCAGCATAGTCATTACTGTGTACCTGAGATGAAACCACCAGTTAAGTTCTGTGCTATCATTTCACTATGTCTGTGCCTTGTACAGTTTTGGGGTTTGAAAGCTATGGGTGAAAAGTTACAAATCGAGGATTTATTCAGGACTAAAGCTAAAGAATATGGGCTAAAAATTCATGGTTTTATATATTGCTACTGGCAAAAACACTTGCCTAGTGTGGTAGTTCAGTGCAGCTCTTCAGTCTTGGAAGAAATACTGTTACATCCACTGTAAGCAAAAGGGTAAACTGCAAATCATAGAAAAGAATATTCAGCAGGTGTTTCACCCAAATTATGTGAGAGTTGACCTCTTCTGATCTAGTATAAAGGAAAAGATGCTGGGAAGCAAGGAATTCCTTTTCTTGTCCTCTCTGTTAGACTTATTAACTCTGTAGCTCTTCTGGAAAATGTGCTGTTTCATGTTTGGTCTGAAGGAAATGTTCTTTCATATAGAAAGGAGTTCCTTATTTGTTTTGCTACATCCTGTTGCATTTTGCTAAGACCAGGGAAGTGCTGTGTTGTGAAATTGGTTCACAGACTTAGTACCTCATCAGTGATTGTCTGTGTAGCAAGTGATTAAGACATAAGTAGGTGTCTCCAGCATCTGAAGTTCCTGCGAGACTGTTACTTTAGTGTAGAAATCCCTACAGTGAATTCTCCATCAGTTCAGATAATCTTCTGATATATATAAATCATTACTCTTTTATGAGCTGACACAAACACTCTAATAGAAGTTGTAAGCACAAATTAAATTTTAAAAGGTGGACTAAAGTAATACCTATAGATGTAATCCCCAGTAAACGAGTCATAAACATCCTTGATCAGATCCAGCAGAGCGCATCCCATGAAGATGATGAATGAATGGGTTGGAGCATCTGCCTTATGAAAAGACATTTGGGGAGCTGAGGGTGTTTAGACTGGAGAAAAGAAGGGTCAGGGGGATCTTATCAATATATGCAAATACCCAGTAGGGTGAATAAAGAAGACAAAGCCACTAACAGGACAAAGGCAATGGACACAGTCTGAAGTACAATAAATTCCACTGAAAGATCAGAAAAGTCTTTTTCTGTGAGGGTGTCAACACTGGAACAGGCTGCCCAGGAATCTCCATCCTTGGAGATAACTCACAACGGAGCTGAACGTGGTTCTGCACAACCTGCTTCAGTTGACCCTGCTCTGAGTAGTGGTGGTTGAACTAGATGATCTCCAGAGGTCAACAGGTCTGACCTCAACAATTATTTGGTTTATTCCAGATAAGTTAACTCTGCGTTTAACTAATTTTATTCTGTAATGATTTATTGCAATAATGATTAATTGCATTTAATATTTTGCCCTTCCATGGACAATCTCCAGGAGACTGAATTATTTTTGAAGTAGGAAATTCAAAACTAGACACAGTACTTATACTCATTAAGTGCCAGGCTATTGTTTTTTCTGTGACATTTCAGGTTAGGATCAGATTTATCATTTCAGTTTATTATTTTTTTTTCTAGAGAACATGGTGTTATTTACTTATTTTCAGTTTGCTAATTTCCCAGTCTTTTTTTATACAGCTGTTTAGCCAGGTACATTCTATCGTAAGTTTTACAAAAATCTTTTTTTTGGGGGATAAAAATTATTAAAATGGAGAAATATGATAACACTTGTAAAACATGACATGCAAAAATTCTTTTGGTTAGTCAGCATCAGATACAATATGGATAGTCATAAGTGTTATCTTACATATTGTTTTTATTGAAATACATCTGGTATGTCAGTGGAATTTTGTATTCTGGTCCTGTTGTCTAAAGCACTTGCAACTGCTTTGTTTGTGATATGTCTGTTGTCATTCAGGTCATGCATATGCAGTGATATATGAAAAATTTACTTGATGAAAGATTCTCAAGTGTTGATGAGGGTTTTTCTTGTCATGGTCCATTCCTGGCTACTGTTCTCCAGTCATGTTAGCAGCACGCAAAAGAAATTCCAGGATGAATACTCAGTTTATCTTTACTGAGGAATATTCACCAGGTGTGTCATACTGTTTTCTGAATATCTGTATATAGTATTTATATCTCAAAGGTGAATCTTCTCCATTTTCTCCCTAGTTAACTTAGGAATTAATAGGTTTTGTTTCTGCTTTCTAATAGTGTGAACTGTTGGTACATATCTACATACTACTACTCTGTAGTACCACAATCATTATTTGATTTCATACTAAGTTTTAATTTCTTCCTTTTTGTTTCCTCTATGTATTGTAAAGTTTAGAGACATCTATGTGTTCAGAAGATTGACCACTGTTTTCTTTGTTCTCCTTCCAGCAATCATATTATTTATCTCAGAACCTTCTCCTGGCTTTTGGTCATTTGTCTGTGTCATTGCAGATATAAATATAGAGTTATGATGCCACCTCCCTGCTGATCCTTCTTTAAAACTGCTGTCCTGAATAATTCTTCCTTGTACAAGATGGACCTACCTTTGTTCAGTTGTCCTCTGTGCCGGAACACCACCTTGTGGAAAAGGGAAGCAGAGCTTCATCTTTGGTTAGAAAAACTGAAAATACCTGAACCTTCATTCTTCTCTCAAAAGTAAGGGATTCTTCTCCCTTACTTTTGGGTCCTTTCAATTACTTTTGAGCAACTCTGGGTAATATTTACCAGTGCTATTTTTGTCCATATGAATGAACTTCATGGAATAAAAATCAGAAGGCTGAAGGAACCTCAACACCTTTACTAGAAGTAGTGAAGCAGTGACAGAGCTAAAAAAAGTGTGTTTATTTAATTTGATTACATTTATGGTTGTATCAACTTGATTATACTGCTCTAATTAAGCGTTACTAGGATTTTCTATAATAAACTTGAATTTTCAGCTATTTATAGTTGAAGGAGAATGTTTCCATACAGATATTTGGCATTCAATGTCTCAAGCTGAATGGTGTGGTTTTCCTTTTTCTGTTTTTTTAAAAAAATACTCTTTGGCTGCATTCTGTTTTGAGGGAGGCAATTATTTTGTGGTTTTATATGCTTTTTGTTCTCCCTTGGCAAGGCTTGATACATGGAAAAACAAATTTTCCAGGCTCTTAGTCTTTTATGTCAACTATTTCCTTTTTGATACTTAAAACATGATACTTTGGTAGTCATTACTTTTTAACAGAGATACTGTATTATTCAATAAGCAGTCACCCCCTACATATTTACTGTAACTATTTTTTATATTTTATTACATAAAAATACTTCATATATTTCAATTTAGTAAGTAATTTTCCTGAAAGAAAATTACATACCTGACATGTTTATTGTTTAATGTAAGTACATGTGTATTTCTGCAAAGTTCACCTTTTTTTCCATTTTCTTAAAATATAAAAACCGGTTTTCATTTTCCTGTTTATTTCTATTTATATTTTCTATTTATTATCTGCAGGCCATTTAATGCCATACTAGCAGGTATTGAAATTCTCTAAGTTTGTCTCATTGGTTCTGAAAATCCGTCCTTTTACCCAAGGACGTGGTACACGTTTGAAATGCTCCAGTTAGAGTTTAGGGAACTCAGTTCTTCAATTCACAAAACCCAAGTGCTGGTTAAGGTCTAATGCCATCTAGATAGTAAACAGAGAAGGGTGTAACTCTGCCTCTGTTCTTCAAGACTTCAGTGTGTTCTGCGCGTTTGAAGCTTGACTAATGAATGCAGATGGCGTTGAGTCTGGCACAGACTGGCTCAGGTGATTTCTTAAGATGTGATTTAAGTAATGTGCAAATATTCTGCAAGTGTGACACTATGATCTGAAGACTTCACAAAAAGTGAAGTTTTCTTGCCAACAGCTTTACCAAGTACATATTTCTGTTTTGGAAGAATGTCCCAACAACTAGTTACCGAGTATTCATTCACAGGGCAGGTGAGATTTAAGTGAGGAGGTACTTCTTTACTCCTCTGATTCAACTCTGTGGCAGAGAATAGAAAAATGTTAGAGTAATTTTAGCAGAAGATGGTACACATACTTTTAATAGTCGCCAGTTTATTTCTGAGGTTTGCTCTAAGCTGTCAGTTCATTAGTTTGAAGAGTGTAAGGATTTGGTCTATAGTACTGCCTTGAGTTTCAGTTATGTGGCCCTTGTGGGAGTCATCCTGTATGCTGTTCTTGGTGTTGTGTTCAAGAACAGTGAATTCAAGTTGGGACTGACTAGTGGACAGGATGGCTATGGAGAATATCGGGGGCTGAGAGCTCTGGACTATGGCTTAAAGAAATTGTATGTCTGTAATGTCACAGATGGAAAATAAAAAACAATACTTGAATGCCTTTCTGCAATGTCCCTTCCAAATTTCTGTCCTATTCAAAATCCACGGGCTGTGGGTATCACCTGAACGGCTGTGTGAATGGCTACTGCACGTGCTGTAGCTGTGTGAACTGTTCTGTAAAGACAGGTACAGCTCTTTGATTTCAACAAAAGTTTTGCCACAGTAGGAATAGAGTAGGATTTATAAGATTTGGCCTAGAAATTGAACATTTTTGCCATCGAAGTTTTATGGACATTTTTCATGCTCTAAATTAAACTTGGGTTCACATAATCTGTTTTAGCTCCCTCTTTATTTTCCAGTCACAGCTTTACTCATAGCACAGCTGTGGCATTTGTCTTGCAACAAGAAGGATCTGATAATCATGAAATATCCCAGATTTATGCCTGTAGTGCTGAAGCAGTGCCATATTTGTGAAAATAACTTAAGAGAAACAATATGCAGCAGATGTGAAGGTTTTACCTTCACATTTAAGTAGGTTTATACTGTCAGCGGGTGTGGGCTTAGCACGGCCTGACAGAGTTTCAACCTACCAGATGTTCCATATGATCAAATAGATACTATACAGCTGTTTCCCATTCTTTTACTGGGCTCAGATAAATACACAGTAAATGCTCTGAAATATGTTTATCGTATTTTGGCAAGTCCTGCAGAGAACTACCCACAGGCACTAAGAATGAGGGAAGAAACCAAAGGTGCTCATAGGAATGCTCATTTTTCATTACTGAGGAGAAATTAGCAGCCGTTTGGTTGAAACAACCCTGATGATACTAGCCAGGGAGGGATGAAATATGGATTTTTCTATTGATTGTGGATGGTGTGAGATTAGTGGCTGTATTTATGGAGTGACTTTGGTTTGGGGGAACTGTGACTCCCACGGGCGTGAGCTGTCCCTGTGTGCTGACAGTATCATCGTTCCAGTGGTGTTAAACTCCTGGGGAAGGTGGTGGATGCACTGGAGCAGCCATCCCACAGGCAGCTCTTGTTAATCCCAGCTCATGCTTTCAGAAACACAGGAATGGAGAACTGGTTTGGCTTCTGTATTCAATACAATATAGAAAACAGGGCATCTCCAGAGGTCTTGGCAAGGCTGCCTGTGTCCCTCCTGCCCACTCCTCTGAGCACAAGAAGAGTGCCACAAGTTGACCGTGGGATGTATTTTTAAAGACACACAGCTTTTGGGGGTCAATCCAACCAACTGCTCTGAACTGTTTCAGGATTTAAAGACCCAGTTTACATTAACTGCCACACCTGTCAACTTGATTCAATAACAGAGCAGCTAAATATTAAAAAAAGAAGTTTCATTTCCCTTCACCTGCTTTTCTACTCTTATTTCTCCTTCCTCCCCCTCCAGTTCCCCATGCTCTCCTTAGCCCTTTGACCTTATTGCTGCCTTCCTTCCCTCCTGTCCCCATCAGCTTCCTGCCTTTCCAGAGCTGCCCTTACACCTGGAAGATTCTTCTTATCTACCAGAGGCCTTCCTTGCTCTCTTTTAAATCCTTTTTTAAAAACTTCATCCTCAGAGAAGTAACTTTCATCTTTCATTAATAATCTCTTCAACATTTCTTGACTGCTGTGTTCTTTTCAGATTTATAGCCTAGTCTTGCAAATGTTTACAGGGCTGTTCAGTTAAACTGAGAACATTCAGTCAGAAGTTTGGAGGACTGGATTGTTCATTGTGAAGATTTTTGAAATGGGAATTTTTTCACTGTAAAACATAATGTTCATTTATGGTTCTACATACATTTTATAATAAACATTTGTGGCCTCAAAGGAGCGGGGGAGCATTCACGCAGCTAACTTTGCTGTTGACTTTTATTCCCTAAATCAAGGTGTGGAATATGTTCTCACAGATTTTTAAATGCCCTGAGCAAACTTCCTGTTGACAATATGACTTTATACCCAGAATCATAGGAGAGAACAAGTATATGCTGTACCTTTGATCTTGGTGACCTCCATTGTTTTGTGTTTCAAGTATTGATTTTTATTTCAGGAACCTCAAGCATCTGGACTGCCTGAGTACATAAAGATTGTGGAAGTTGGGCCAAGGGATGGATTACAAAATGAAAAGGTAACTTTTCTCCTTTTTTTTTTTTTTTTTTTTTTTTAATACTTTGACATAGACATTAGTGTTATTTTCACTGTGTGGAACATGTACATTCTGAAGCTAATTAAGTTTCTTCCCTTTTGTACTATTAAATATATCTATTTCTTTTTCTATTGATAACTGTTCTCTGTATTAGAATAAAAGTGTATTCCTATTTACCCAGCTTTTAAATAATAGTTTCTTTCTACGCTTGGCAAACTAGCCTTTCTGTTACTTAACTGCCATTTCTTTTTCTGGAATTTGTCTTGTCAGTGAATAGCATTCTGTCATGACGTAATTGGTAAACACCATGAAACACTAACTATCTTTGTAACATGTGTTTGTGCTCCAAGTGCTAATATAAAAGACTAAAATGGGCTTTATCATGCTTCCTGCTAAACAGACATGGGGAAAAAATATTACTCATGTGATATTGCCTGAAGGATTGTAGGGAAGCAAGGAAGAAGATTGAAAGAGACTGTAGGATACATGTATCAAAACAGTCATCTGTTTCCACAAACAGGAGGATAAGCTCACATATATAACTGTTACTGATATCAAACACATTAATAGTACTACATTAGTAATATTAAATGTACATATTATTTATTCATAATATTATTAACCTAAACATGTTAATAGTATTGACAGAATAGAAATACTCTACCTCAGCTGTGGAGCTTTTTCCTCCCATTTTTCTCTGTTTGAGTTGTTACTATTTCCTTTGCCACTTCTTTGCTAGATTAGTGTTTGGTTAGTAACAAGTAATTTTTTTAAAGGCCAGCCCTATAACCAGTTACACAGAAGTGTTCTCTTTTGCGATGGACAGAAAATGGAGTAGGATCATGTATACCGCCTTGTGCACTTAGGAAAGTTTCTTATCATATGAAGTATTTTACTAAAGTATTTCTCCATGTCTGTAGGTGATAGTCCCAACTGATATAAAAATTGAGTTAATCAATCGGCTTTCCAAAACAGGCCTGCCTGTAGTAGAAGTGACCAGTTTTGTTTCATCCAAATGGGTGCCTCAGGTATGTAAAATCATCTCCATTCAGAACTATTTCAATTTAAATGCCATTCCATTTATATAACATTCAGTTGTAACTAGATATTTAGGATAATGACAAATCATTAATATAATTTAATGTTCCTACTTCCTTTTTACTCTTCTAAAACTAATAATCACTGATGTAAAAAACAAAAGTAGCATACATTGTTTTCTTTTTCCCTAAATGAAATGTAATTTTCCACATTTGGAAATGTGTTTGGACTGTCTAAATTTGGGACTTTCTTATATGTAGTAGTAGTTAGGCATGCTACTTATATTTTGCAGTTCTAGCACTCTATCAGCAGCCACACTGAGTTTTGATGAATCAGAATAATTTGCTCATTATTTGTCCAAAATTGTTATGTTTGGTACAATTTAGCAGAAACCCTAGCCTTTCTGAAATCAGCAGCAAAACTGAATTGGCATTAGTAGTGCCAGGTTTTCATGTAAGATTTAACATTGCAAATTCAGGCTTAGACCTGAAGGATACTACGTAGGTTCTGTTTGTGCAAATTAATTATTCCCTGCAAGTAAGGAAATAAGTCTATATAATTAAGGAAATACTTGTCTATATAATTTAAACTATGAAACTGAACACTTGTTTTCACAGAAGCATTTGAATGCTTTATATTTAGTAAGGATCAGAAGTTATTTACAAATTAAAACATGAAACTAATTAATTTGAGAAAATACTTCAGTTTTTAACAGCGTTTGTTGCTCATCTGTCAAAATATACATAAAGTTTTGCATTTTAAACTGAGAGTATATCCAGGGCCTGGGCTGTATTTTACAGCCTTTATCTGAGAAAAACAGTGTGGTCATGCTTATTCATGAGTTAGCAAAGCAAACTGTACAGCATTCTGAGACAGACTCCTTTGATTTATTTCAACATTCTCAGGATCATCAGGGAATAGTCTAGAGGAAGGATAATAGGAAAGGGGAAGAGTGAGAATGCAGAATTTCTTTGGCATCAGTGCAGGGGCAATGATATTGTGTCTGTTAAAAGTGACCAAGTTAAGACTTTCCAAATGCCATCAAACTTCAGCAGTGACTGAAACAAAGAATAATGTAGGTTTTTAAACATTAGAAGAGAAAGTCTAAAGCAAAGGTGTATTTCTTTTTTTCTTGTTTAATTATTTCCTTTTCCTGTGATCCATTAATTTAGCATGGGTTTGTCAGTTTTGGAAAAAAAATGAACAATCCCTTCTTATCTTAAATTCATGTCTGAACATTTTGTTTTAATGGCTTAATTTGTGCTTAAAATGTTTTTTTTATTTAAAAAATAACATTGTATTGCATTGATAGAGAGTGCAGTCTTGACTTTGTCTTTTCTTTGCTCCTTTCTTTTTTCTTTTCATAGGTCATGAGAATAGAATTCATGGTTATGTTTAGATCACTCATTCACTTCTTTTTTTAGTATTTTAAAGGTTTTTTTATGGTTTCCAATCTGCTGTTGTTTTTGGCAGAGATTTTTTCACTGAAAAAACTATAAGAAAAAGTTCCACAGTAGCAAGGTGCCATGTAAAACAGGATCCTACACCTATAACCTAAGCAGCCAAAAATTATAAATACCTACCATTAGGAAGCTTATTTTAAAAGAAATTTGGAAAAGAAATATTTTATTACAATTTAAAATCTTGTAACATGAAATATGTGTAAAGATGGGACTTTACTTACAGGAAAAATAATAATGGGACAAGTTTAATACATTTAATATTATTTGGATCTGGCAGGTTTATACTTGTTGAAAAAGTGTCATTTTGGTTTTCTAGTGTATTTTAAGTCAGGCTATAATTGTGAAGTGTGGATTTAGTTCCAGCATTTGCCACTTAAGTAATCATTTGCTTTCAAACATTCTTCCTTGTCCTGAGAAATGTAGATACTATTTATATTAAATTAAGGAAATTTTTTTCTTAAAAATTAATGTCTTAACAAAGGGTTTTTTGTGAGGTTATCAGACTGATTTAGTTTAAGTAGAAGCAATTAGAAAAAGTTGCCTTGTGCTATCACTTGTTTCCCAATGAGAAATTAGTTGCGTCTGGCTATTAGACACTTTTCATATCCACTTCCTTATAGATACATGTTGGGCTTGCATTTGAGGAGGCATACATGCATTTTTCTGATATTTTTAATCCATTAATTTTCAGAGTAGGAAGCCAGTGACAGGAAGATTCCAGGTTGCCAGTAGTATTCTCAGTTAATAATGTGGTGTAATTTAATATCATGTATTTAGAATTGTGGTACTGCATAGCTATCAGTAAGGTATCTGCTGAAAGTAAGCCGTAATGAAAGCTTTGTATGTCGTATATCTTTTCATACGGTACTTCTCAAATGACTTTTCACTACTGTGAAAAGAATCAGAAATCCTTTTTAATATTGTTTTCTTGAGAGATTTGCTTTTATGAGAGCTGATTTAAAAACTAAACACTATTATTTAAAACTGAAAATCTTTAAGATATGAAATAAGGGATATGTTTTATTAACTGTGTAGTTCTCAGGAATGCACACCACTGGAAAACACTAATTTTCCATCCACTTCTTTTAAGAAAATGTGCTTGTCTAAATAACCTGTTTTGTATTACCTCAATAAGTTTTTAATTCATCTTCGTAGTACATGTAGTATGTTTAATCTTGAGTGTGAATGAGAAAAATGTAAAAGTGTTCTAAAAAGGCAGAGTTTCTTTTGTGAGGGGAGACTAAGGAAAACAAGTCCTTGAATAAAGTCTTTCTTTTTAAAGAAGTATTTTCTTCTTTAGAAAGAAACTTCTAAATATATTAAAATGCTTCACTATGCAGACAGTTGGATTTTGCTATATTTTTTAAGGATAGACTTGCGTTTAGTCTTTTCAAATGTGGTGATTGCAGTTTGAGTATTTCAAGTTCAGTTATCCTTAACATTGTGAAGTTGCATTTATCAGAGTGCTGAAGTTTTCAAGATTTGGATGTTGTTTAAATGTCAGTTGTTCAGTTAATTCCACCTGTTGAGTCCAGTGAGGCAAGGTTAAAGTTGCTGTAGCATTTGATGAGCAGCACGATCACGTCTGTCAATTTACGATGCAAATTATATTTTTACATATCCACACAAAAAGAAATTGTAGCTCCAATTCTATAATCATAGAGATGTGAAAAGATTGCAACTCAAATGCTGAAAAGTTAAGAAATTAAAAAAGGATTACTTGTACAACATCAGTTTAACCCCTTTGTTGTTAGATTTTTTGTATGTACTCTAAAAGTAATGAAGGCAAACCCACAGTCTAAGCCAATTTCGTTTAGCTGTATAAAATCAGAAAATGACTGCTGATCAATACAAATGATTTATATATTTTAGATGGCAGATCACAAAGAAGTAATGAGGGGAATTGAGCGGCATCCTGGAGTCCAGTATCCCGTTCTCACGCCTAATCTTCAAGGTTTTCATTCTGCTGTAAGTGCCTTCACAGATGTCCACATTTACCTCTTTTATCTTTCAGTTCAGTACCATAAACCAGGTATTTAATCTTAGAAATAAGATAATGGAAAAGTCTCAGTTTTCATTATGAAAAATGAGCACATTTACAGAGTGATATTAAGCTTTATGTATGTATATTTTGATGGAAGTGTTGATCAGTCTTTTAAAATTCCTTTAAATGATGCTTGTACGTAAAAAGTAAGACAGTTCCTTCTTCCTTGACCTGAAAAGTTTGCCCTAGAAAAGTTTCTGAAGAGTGTCTTCTTCTTGGAAAGTACTGAAGAAGAATGAGGATATGAAAATGCTTTATAGCAATTCTGCATTTCATTTTGGTAGGATTTGAAAGTTGAAATTGTTTCAGTTCATATGAAATAAATACTCAAAGTGTTTGGAAGTGTGAAAATAGAGCAGTTCAGTCTTAAAACATATACATTGATAGTCAGATCTTTACACTTTTTTGTTTTCTGAAAATTTTTAATACTTCTATGCTTCTGTCCTGATATAGGACAAACTGTATTTGGAAAGTATAGTGCTTGATGGATATTTATGGTGTAGTCTGTCATTCAGTTCCTATACAGCATTTGAAATCTCTGTTAAAACAGAATCCTGTGCATAGTCAACTTAGCTATCAAGAGTCAGATTATAGTGCCATGACTTTGTCTCAGAGCTAGCTTGCATGAGTTGAATTATTTGTGCTATAATGTATACAGTATATCTCAATGCTGTATTTAGCAATATAATGAAAGGAAAACAATTAAGAAATAGTTGTAGGTGATTCCTGCATATCTTGCTGATATTTTTTTCCCTCTCTTTGAAAGAGTATTTGTCCCTGTAAGGGTTGCTGAAGCTGAGACCTTATTCTGCAGAAGCAAAGACTAAAGGGAAAAGCTTCATCCCTTCTCATAGAACAATAGCATTATTCTCACTAGAGAGTGAGAATTAATTAACTTTTCTCCTAAGCTGAAATATTTTCTTCTCCTACCATTTCTCTTTCAGCCTTCTAATTTGCTTCATGTTAGCTGGTTTACCGAGTACAAGCTCAGGTTAATTGCCCCTTCAGTGAAGTCACCACCTTTACACATTTTCTAGACTGGTGTTTGCTCTGAGGCTTTCTCAGCAGACTCTCACATACACATATTCCATATTATCCATATCAACTATGACACCAAGATCAATGGAGCCCTTGATCCTAAAGCTGGCTCTAATAAAGAAATCCCTATTAGTTATTGTTGCTGCTTCTAAGCACATGCCCACAGAGAGCTTTCCCAAGCATGGGAATGACTTGCTGGCATTCAGGAGGAACAGACATAGTGCAGGGGATGCATATTTCAGAGTTGTTACATGATCTTTCCCTTTTCTCAAAAACAAGTATTAATAACTGTTATTTTTATAGTTGGTTCATGTGATTTCTGCATCTTACTACCTTTATCATTTGTCAGTTTAAAAACATGTTTACCTAATTGCTAAGAAGAGGAAAGAAGTCGCCACAGTGAATGAACTCAAAATTTGATTCAATCTGTCTGTATGCGATAGCTTAAAAAAAATTTGAATTAAACTTATATTTAGATATGGATGCAATAATTAATGTACTTTAAAATTCTGGAGTGTTGTACAGAATTAAATGCTTGATCTAATATTTTAATATAGTGTTGTGATGCTTTTTTATTGAAATGTATTTTTTAGATTGCAGCAGGAGCTACAGAAGTCTCAGTATTTGGCGCAGCATCTGAATCTTTTAGCAAAATGAATATTAATTGTTCAATTGAAGAAAGCATAGAAAAGTTTGAAGAAGTTGCTAAATCTGCAAGGACTATGAATATTCCAGTGCGTGGGTAAATACAAAGATTCTAATATAATATAGAATTATTGGAGTTACTGTTACAGGGGGTTTTGGTACCAGTAGAAAAGTATACTACCAAATTTTTACATTTTAGATGAATTGTAATAATAGTCTTTACTGTGATTTTTTTCCGAGATTGAATATATATAGTAATTTTTGAATTTTTAACTAGTAATGGTGACTACTTTTCTCTGGAAATTGGAAAAAATTTGGGTTTATAAGATACCTATTATACAAATTTATTTTTATCATCACAGATGACAAACTAAAATTTATTTTGTGCTGTCGAGAATTCATAACACTTGCCTGCACCTTAAAAAAATACCCTACATACTTTTATTTTATTGTAGCATTCATATCACTTCATACACTGTAGCATCAAGGTATAAAAATGAGAAAACAAATTTATTCCTAAGAAAAAAATTATTCTGTATATAAGTTATTCTGAAAACCCCAGTATTGAAATTTTTGGAGTTTCCAGCATATGAAAGTCTAGAATTGTCCAGTATTTATTTTTTTCTTTGAAGTACTTTCTTTTAAACTTAAAATAATCCTGAATGGTACTTACTCTTGAACAGTATTTGTTTTTCATTTCTATTTTCTTTTGCATCACACAGAACTACTTACTTGAGATTATTTGCAAAGGTCCTTTTGAATGTGGAAGGGCATACAAAGGTTCAAGGAGAAACTCAACAGTGAGATTGCTTGAGGATTGCTAGTAATGCCAACTACATCATGCTCAAAAAATACCTGGATGTGAAAATAGATAGAGGTAGATATCTTAGAGACTAAGTGCTTGGAAACCTGTCTGGGAATAAATACTGGGATCTCTCTTTGCTCCCAACATAAGAAGGATGTGGAACTTTGGAACAGTCCAGAGAGTGGCCACAGAGTTGATAAAGGGACTGGAACAGGTCTCCTATGAAGACAGGCTAAGAAAGTTGAGGGTGCTCAGCCTGGAGAAGAGAAGGTTGCATGGAAACCTCATAGCAGCCTTCTAGTTTTGGAAGGTGGCCTGCAGGGAAGCCAGAGAGGGACTCTTTGTCAGGAACTGTAGTAACAGGACAAGGGGGAAAGGCTTCAAACTGAAAGAGAGTAGGTTTTTATTTGATACTAGGAATGAATTCTTTACTGTGAGAGTGGTGAGGCACTGGAACAAGTTACCCAGTGAAGCTGCGGACGTCCCATCCTTGGCAGTGTTAAAGGCCGGGTTGGTGGGGCTTTGAGCAACCTGGTGTAGTGAAAGGTGTCCCTGTCCATGACAGCGGGGTTGGAACTAGAAGATCTTTAAGGTCCCTTCCAAACCAGACCATTCTATGATTTTCACACACACAGAGAGCCAACCAAGGATAGCTCATAAATGTGTGGGTTCTTTTCCTTAGCCTGGTTATGTTTCAGATGGAAAATCACTGAATAAAGAAGCAAGGACGTTCACTGTATTAAGAAACAATAACTTGTACTAGAATTTAAATACTCTTCCTAGCTGCTAATCTGCCAGGTAGTAAGTTTGCCTGCTGGAGTAACTTCTTTTATAAGAGGTCTGTTGTTTAAAAGCTCTCTGCCACCACTGTTTGCCACATTTTTCCAAAACTTATTTCTGAGCTGAGAACATAACTAGCAATTTGAGTTCTCCAGGAGGATTAAGCCCAGGAATGTCTGAATTTTAGATCCCAGAGAGGTATGAATAAGGCAATAGGTAGTCAATTCAGAAAACACAATGTGTGTTTTAGGCACTTGTGAACACTTTTACACTAAACTTCTGTTTTCTGGTTTTCTCAGATGTCTGGGTATGTCAAGAGATTTTTATCTTTCATATTCCTGTATTTTACTAATAAAATTCAACCACGTAGTACAATAGAGGCAGTCAAACATCCAGGGAATCCTCAAAGCCTATGCATTGGAGAAATTTTTGGATAACTATGGCTGTCAACAAAGAGACTTTGCAACTGGTCCATAAGATAGAAATTGCAAGTGATGAAGTGGTGTACTATAGATTGGTTTTCAGCTTAAAATGTTAATTGGTTTTCTGTGCACTAATTTTCACATGTTGGAAAAAGTAGCAACCTGGTACTGTTTTTTTCCCACGGATTATATGTCTTAGGCATTTGTAACGTGCCAGAAGCAATTATTCTGGCACTGATACACTGATGTGATGGAAGTAAGTGTTCCCATGATAGGATTCTATAACATTCCCAAACATTTATTGTCCACTGTCTGAAGAACCATGTGGCTTTTATTTTATTTAACACAGGGGGGGAAAAAAAAAGAGAGAGAGAAATAGGAGATAGAAAATGGTCAAACAGAAGGAAGACACACACACAAAATAAATTAGAATAATAACAAAAAGAAGGAGAACAAAGCAAGGAGATACAAAGAGAGGAGTCTCAAGAGCTAAGTAGTGAAGCAAACAGAAAAACAGCAGTACAGAGATGAAGAGAAATGAGATAATTGAGCTCAGGAAAAATAAAATTGGGTTATGTATTAAAAGTGCTTACTCTGTGCATCCAGTACCAAGATCTGTAATTTTACTTCAATGTGCAAATGTTAAGCAAATTTCATACAGTACATGCAGGACAATTTTATTGAGTCTGTCACACAAGGTGCTGTTACTGAACACTTCAGCTGTGAACTGTATAGTGTCACATACACACTACAAAGTGATCAAATTCAAAGTCAAGAATGAAAATTACCTAAAGTGCACTCCAGCTATAACTTTCTTCCTTAGGCTTACATGTCTAAGAAAAGTGAATCCTTCAAAAGTAAGAAGCCATTGACAGAAACATTCAATTTATGGGATTATACCCAAGTAAAGAATCTAAATAGAGAGGATAAGTGTATTGACGAGAAGCTGCATTTACGTCAATGTTGCGTGTATCTCCATCACATGATATTAGCTTGAGAATTACTTTATCCAGTGAAAATTGGAGATTGAGGCACCAGGACATAAGATGATGGACTAATGCTACACTTCAGCAAAACAAAATGTTTAGGAAAGAGCTGCTGGTATTTTTCTAAGGGGATCTATTATAACTCAATAATAAAGTAGCCAATCTGCTAAAAACCTGCTGAGAATCTAAATTGCAGAATATGGAGCCTTATTTCATAACAAATCCTCTAACTAAGGTAATTCTGAGTATACATTGAACATAAATTTCAGTATATGATAATATTGAAAAGAAAGTTTTGAACATGCTAATAACATAGAAGATAAAAGAGAACTGGTTAACACCATACATTTGGACTTTGAGTGCACTTTTAAAAAATTCCTCGCAGGGAGATTTTGAGGAGGCAGAATAGTAATTAATGAGGAATAAAATATTGCTATGGATCAGAGTCTAGACTAATATGTTTTTAAGAGAATAATTACCAAGTATTGATTCTTTTCCCTGCCTTTTCATACTCATTCAGATGCACTCCTCATGGGTTGCAGAGTTACAGGAATCCCTGGGACACGTGGAGACAGAATGATTGCTCAGGAATAATAATAAAAAGGGATTGGTTAGTGTCCATTTACTTCACTACTTTCTTTTAAGCTCCACTTTACTGTCTTTTGTTGAGTAGAATTCTGACCAAAAAAAATAGCAGATTGAATATAGAAATACAGAATTCAGAAGGACTTCCTTTTTTTTTTAATAGTAGATCTCTCAGCAGTTGAACAAAGCTCTAGAAGATGGACTTAAAACTTTTAATTAGTTAAAAAATAAAAAAATACAAAGAAGCATCAGTTTTGAATGGCAAATCCAGGAAGTAAGTAAATCTGTTTACAACATATCAGATGCTTGTGAGGGGAGAGACTATGGAGCAGACTGTCATTTCCAACTTAATTCTAGAAAACTAAACTATGATCTTCTCTGGTAGTAACAGCCAACAAAAGCCTGCACTATTATAGGGATTTCATTGGTACTTGAGAGAAAGTAGTTCTTTAGTTCCCAAATATTGCAGTCCATTTAGAAGACTTCTGAAGTTTTTACACAGTATTAAATGAGGTAAAACCTGGGCTTCTCTTCCTCAATGAAAAAAGCTGTGAAAAGATAACAGAAAGTAAAAACTTAAACTGAGATTTCATAGAAATATTGAGGGGGAAGCCAAGGTGACTTTTTCCTGGAAATAAAGCAATCAAAAATGAATTAACTAATAAGACCTATAATTTATAATCCCATTTTAGCTGTTGCAAAAGAAGCTGCTTTTAGTGACAGATAAAATAAATGGGATTTTGATATCCCATTTCATGAAAAATTCTCTAAATACTGAGGCAGCCAAGGCTTTGTGGCAAGTTGTTCTTGACATTCAGTATTTTGAATAGGTGCTCATGGTTTGAATGGTAGTTATTTAATTGCAAAAAGATTAGTTTCAGGTTTTATTTTGTTGTTTGGCTTCTGTTTACTGAAAGTAGTTACAATATTGATGTAACACGAGGCAGATCTGAGCATGACCACACAAGTCTGAGCCTGTAATCCTAAATCTTCCTGTAGTAACTGTAGGGAACTAGGCAGCCTTCAGGCTGTTGTTTACAGTATGTGCTTTCTAAAGTACCTGCCTTAGGATAAGATGAAACACTCTCTGGATGATCCATCCTTTTGACTAAAGGAGCTTAGGCTGTATCCAATGCTGGTCATTCTACAGATGGTATAGGCTGTAGATGATTATCTTTGATATCAGAAGTAAGAACAGATGAATCCCAGCCTGTGCATAGGCTGAGGATTAGGACCTTTTAATTTGTGTAAGTTACAACAGATAGAAGAAATAGGCTTTGTGCTGCAAGGTAACACAAAATGAAGCTGTGGATTTTAAGGACAAAGGTTTGTACTCTGTGGACTTTGGTTTTAATCACCCTTTTAGAGACTGGCTAATTTAAGGAACCATGGCCAAAACCTGCAGTCTTTCCTCAAGCAAGCTCTCAGGACTACGCATTTTGGCTTCTAATATAAATTTTGTAGCCTAAATATTTTTATAGAATTACTTAAGTAATAAAACCATTAATATGCGTAAATT